TATTCCATAGGTAGGTTATCCGCCTTCTCTTAACTCTACAATCACGAACAGAGACCATAACCGGAGAAACACGGCTAATAGTCTCCTGGAATCACTCTGCTAACTTCCTACTGGAGCGCTCAACATTAGAACTAGTTGTCAAACCGGACAACAGGTCTCATTAGCAAGATTTCTGGCATCTTGAGCTGTGGAGGTATATTGTGTTGCGGAGACCCGCATACATGACCCAAGTGGTTACTCATCGAGATGGTGAGTCTTAAAATTTTACCCTACAGGTGTCAGGAGACTCTTCGTCTAGTTCAAGTGAACTTGGAAGGAAGAAAAATAATGACTACACGAGTATTTGAGATATACATGACTCATCCTGAGGAGCCGGATGTAGTGTCTAGTCAGTTGTAGAAATAGTAGTAAAGTCTGTTGATTAACTCCGTGTTAGTAAATCCTAATGAATTTCTGTTGCTTTATTTGAACTGATAGACGCAAGATGACTGATTCCGGAGGGCCCTGAGCGCTGATGAGAAAAGAAAGCTGCTCAAATACAAACTGTCTAAAAGTCTCCACAACAACCGTTATGTGTTGGGTGACATAGGATAAAGCGATATAAAAAGGTATCGACGGTAGGTAACACGCGACAACTAATTAAACTTATTAGGGAGACGGGTTGTAAAAACAAATAATAGGCGAAACGATCGCCGGCAAAAGCATAATACCCAGATGGGACATTTGAAGGAACACTTTTAGGAGCAATTTACCCAGCAACCAAAACATGGATCCTTCCTCCGCCTGTAACTGAGACAGCAAAGGCTGTCTTTAATCTAAATGGAGCAAAGCAGCGGGACCTGATGGCAAGACTCCAAGTGCTAAAGTATGGTAGTGATGAACTATTGGCGGAATTAATACATTAAGTAATATATGAGAAGTGTGTGTCGGTGACACAACGGTAGAATGCTCGCCAACCACCCATGTGGTTTGAGGATCGATCCCCGGCCGACGCACTCCTTTTCCTCACTAAGTCAGTAATCAGACTGGTAAAGAGGAAAGGTTGGGTATGAGGCTAGCAACCCAATTCCGTAGAAATGAAAACACCGCTGCTACCAAAATACCAAAGCTCTAGCTTGTAGTCCTGTGTTCCACTGGGAACGTAAAGGGAAAGAAAATATATGAGAATCCAAGATTGCCCTGCTGGAGTGGTTTGAATCATTGATTATCCCAGTTTATACGAAGGATGACAAGTGTCCCTGTGATAATCATATAGGGATTAGCTTGATTAAAATTCTAGGTCTACTAATCATGCATAGACAAAGTGATGCCGGGGAGAAACAAACGGTGTAAACCAGACACGCTTCAGATCCGAACACGAGTGTGTTGATAATATCTTCACTCTTCATGAGATTCTGGAACAAGAGTATCTTCCTGTATCCAGCATCTGCCATATGTCTTGACTTGAATGCTGAGAAGTGCTATGGTAATACCTGGCCGTGGAGTGCCCAGAAAGTTTATCGCACTAACCAAGGTACTGTACTCGAACATATGCAACCATGTAAGAACTACTACATGAGTGTGTTAAAACATTCAAGGTGCACTACAAACTCATGAAGTTGTCGCATAAAGTGAAGGCAACCTGTAGTGTCCGTTAGAGATGCCCAATGTCTCCATTTTTTGTTTAATTTCGTTATAAGTACACCCATGGATGCTACTTAGGGAATGACCTGTTACCAGGAAATAATGTCATCGATTTTGAGTATGCAAATGATATTGTCCTTCTGCATGAAGACACCAATAAAATGTAGTCTGAACATCTTGAGTAGAAATTTTGGTATATTAGGCGCGTGACTCACTCCTGTCAAATGTTGGATGAGGCTGTAGGACTGGTCTAAATCGACATGAGCGTGTTAACCACGTCGACTATCTGGGAAGTTGCACCAGTTCTAATGGACTAATTTTGCTGATAAAATCTCAACACTAATGCAAACGACTTGTGTGGTAACTGACAGCTTTGATCAGCTAGCCTTTAGCGTAGATGTAGGACTCGGCTATCAATCAAAGGATGTTTGTGCTAAGCAGCGTTTCGCGCTCCGTCCTTTATGGCTGAACATTTTAATTACTATCTTCCTCTTTAATAACTGCCATGTATTTGGGAATGAGAATGAAAAAAAGTAAGCCATTGTCCAATAATATTTAGAACGATACGCATCTGTGAAATAAAGAGATTTTAAGGTTTCTGTGAAACTACTCTACGTGATAGACCTCTGAATTAAGAGGGAAAATATAGATCAAAACGCATTTCTGAAAAAAGAGCAAAACTCCTCCACGTTCTACTCAAATAAAAAATTTTGGGGGAAATTCTGGGGAAATACAACATTTTTCCGCAACAAACCCCAAAATCTTTTGGGTAGGTGCGAACGAAAAAGTAAGACCTCTGCCTTCACACGGTAGGGGTAAAACTCACAAAAAAAGTAAGGGTGAATGAGAATGTCTGGCGCCTGCAACCGGACTGGTGGGTGGGCATGTAGGGAGCTGGAAAATCTTGATTCCAAACCTATGATGTACATGGGCTACAGAATCCGAAATTGAAAGGCGTATAAATCTGTTTTGGTAAGCAACAGCCAACGCAGCTTCTGACGCTGCTCCAGTGTACTACCTTGTCCATTAGACTTCAAGTCAAAGGCCCGGGGACGCCCCTCCTAAGACAGCCACCTGCTTCGGTCTGGATGTTCGGGCAGTATGTATTCCAGTCCTCATACAAACGGTGAGATTTTGGGTGATGCATCTTTTGGTGTCCATAATGTGCCAAGTTCATTTTAATAATAAAAAATAATAATACTCTATGCTTTACCTCTTATTCCTGCTTCTAAACACTATCGAACTAGGGACATTGGTCAAAAAATGAAACTGGATGGCAAAGAATGACAATGAAAACTCACTTTAACAACTCCATATCAAAAGGTTTTCCCATAGTACGACGTTGTTGAGCTCCACATTTATTCAGCTAAAAATTTTGAAACAAGTTATTTAAACTGAATAGAAATGTAATGCAAGATAAGTATATATGTAGCCTTTCAGGTGTACTGCGTAAAACTCTATCAGGTAGCCCAATGTATTAAACTGCGAAATATTAGGGCATGAAATGCTTTTTTCCACTTATGACACATACAGTATTTACACGCATCCAATAATAACCGATCACAAATTGCGGTTCCTCTACAGTAACTAACTGCTTACATCGCAGAAGGTGTAGTGGCATGTCAACCCATCCCACTAGTTGAACGTCAAATACCCATAAAAACAAGTCACATATCCTGTGTCACTAAAAAGTGAGCAAGGATACGCATAGACAGCTGTAAACATCTCAAGTGATTCTATAACCTAAGGGAACAGCAAGTTTTAACACCTCAAAAAGACAATATAAACTTACGTTTAGAAACAACAAGTGGATTTCGACCAATAACTTTGGGAAAATTCGCTCCATACTGAAGATCAAATGGCCAAAACGGATTTGGAGCAAGGAACTCTGGCAACAAATGAACCAAGAATCTACTGCACAACAAATACACGGAAGGAATTGGAGATGGTTCGGACACACACTGAGGAGACAATTGAGTGACATTATGCGCCTGGACCTAGAGTGGAACCCCCATGGGAAACGACAATTTTGGCATCCGAGGGTGATGTGGAGGTGACAGCTTATGGGTAATTGTGGAGCTAGCTAATGAAGTACTACCAAGAACAGAATCAAGTGGAGATAAGCTTTTGGAGCCCAACGTCCCACTTGGGATGCGAGGGAATAGTAATAAAATAATTTTGGAAGACTATGACTTTTAATGACGAAGTTGGTTTTATAGAAGTTCTTAATAAACATAGGGAATTATCAGAAACTTCATTGAAACTTAAACAATAGTATGGTTGTTGTAACTGTTAAAACATGGCAAAGTACACCGAGAATAACAATTGGCACTTTATGATAAGATGGGGGCGAATGCGATTGCGTTGCCATGTTTCGAATGTCTCCTAGTGTAACATTAGTTCGAATTTAACCACCTTTCCATGTATGCCTAATCGAAAAAGTCGAAAACAGATATCCCGTTAACGAAGTGTTGATCATTCATTTGAACCCTGTTCTAAGTACTGAAGTTTGCGTAGCCCTAAGACAATAGGACTGGCTAACTGATAAGTGCATATAATATAAAAAGGGCTGTCTGAGTCGAGTAACGCAGTGACATGTTTAGGGATGTTCATAGTACTAAGTAAGCAACTTCTAACTACCAAGTCATCCATTTGAATGACGGTCAAGCTATCATAAAATCCTAATCAGTACGAAAAAGAAGACCACTGGTAACACAACAAAGCAAGCCAATAATACCTAAGCTAGAGTATAATATCCAGATTAACAGAAACAAAGTGAATTAAAAGTTAAACAGGATGTGAAAAAAGATGTAAAGGCAGAAATCGATAAAGCTGACCATCTCTTAAGAGTCTCAGACACCTATGTTCCTTTACGGCACCCCTTGCACCAAAACATTGACAATTTCACATCGCTACTCTATTATGTATCAAGAAAGTTAGGTAATCATTACTACAATCATGGGATGTAACAAACCACCAAAAAATAACATCTAGTCCCATCGAAGACAGGCTCCCTATACTACTAAAAGAATCACAATGGTCAAAGGCAACATCACACACTCAAGAAACGATATCATTACATGGTCATATTGGTTTTTCATTATAATATAAAGCAAAGAGGAAAAGTGACTTACCTCTGTAAGATTGTTTAGACATGCCACTATCTCGGCTGGTAAATTCTTTGGGAGAGGTTTGAGTTTTTCAACGTCAGAAGTCAAATTTACAGGAACGGATACAGGGGCATTATCACACTTTTCATTTGAATTCTGACAATTGTTTACATCTTTGGCATTATTCTCCTTTGGTGTATTTGGTGAGGATAAGACTTCATCAAATACAGAGTCAAGATTACGCATCTGATTTCGAGACTCTGAAGAGAACAGTTTTGGTTTGAAAGCACTAGGTGTTGACAAGCGTTTGACAGCTTTGTCCAAGAGTTCTCTAAGCAAACAATAACCAAATTATGCTACCTACTTGGATTTATTCTTTTTCCTTATAGCATTATGCGTTGAACTATTGTTTGCCTATCAGAAAATGGAAAGAATTTCACTCATACAAACCAATATCCTTGCATTCCAAGGTGCTTCGATTTTCACACTTGTATCTTCAAGTCCTTCAACAGTCCCTTGATGTACAAAATATCCACCAAATTTAGTTGAGATATTTGGAGCAACAAAAACATCAATCTACATCTCTAACTAGAAAAAAGAAGTCATAAGAAACATACGGCTTCCGAATCGTCAATGAACGAATCTTGTGTATCGTATCCATCTCCTGGGTTTAAGAAATCATCTATACGAACTCGTTTCTGCTTCCCATTATTTTTCACAGTTACCATAGTTCCCTAGAATAATCAGGAGTAATAATATTTTACACTTTACATATTTCTTTTCGAGTGCTTTAGCAAGTTCTGAGAGTTTCTTTTCTTCGGTGGCATTTTCGGATGCAAAAGGATCATCCTGATGTTTTTCATTGTTAGCTGATTCCTGAAAAGTTTAAAACAGAAATATTTTTAGTCTAGTTAACGCTAAAATCAGGAAAATTCATCATCCTATTACTATCACACCTACGCTCAAGGTCAGGTGCGGACCAATGAGCGAATGGCACAGCCACGAGGAATAAGTGAGAATCCCAAATATTCCTACTAAGGAGATAACAGTAACTAAAATTAGATGCTTTAAATACGAGAATAACAGAATATAACAGAGTATAGTAGACCGACAGCCACAAAACGCATGACATGATGTCGTACCAGGTGTTGCTGAAAAAGCTCCAGATAGGAACATTCATGGCAGCCTTCACCATCAGGCAGTGTTATTTCGAAAACTACTGTTTTCTCGTTCAGTTCTTTTTGCATTTCAAATATTTACTGGGGTTCTCCTAAATCCACACCTCAAGGTGCAGTGACCGAAGCACGACGATCAGCTGTGGAACTACAACCCCAGAGACGAATAAGTTGAAGGACGTATGCGGATTAATTGTTTGACTAATTAACACCGTCCTACTGTTGCGCAGTCATTACCATAAACAATGTACAGTGTACCAATTTGAGGAAAAAATTCCCTGGCAGAAATAATTCAAATAAAATGAAAAATTCCGAAAACTGTACCAGTTAATTAGTCGGAAAATTTATTTTGGGGTCAACGGGCACTAGAAACGAGGGAAATTGAACATAGTAACTAAAAACGAAAACATAAACAGTTGAAAGCGTAGGTTACAGAACTCCACCTGACAGCTTCAAGTGTTTTGAAATTTCGTCATTATAAGGTTTTGAAATATCAAAGTCTTCTCAAGCAAGAAAAAGCCGAATAGTCGGTTTGCAATTTGCGAGTATTAACGAATGACGTACGAGTACTTTTCATATGTTAGTTGTAAAGGTAAAAAGCGTCATGAAATCAATAACACAGCTTTAGCACTACTACTCAACACTAGTTTCTGACCTTCAGTGTTTAAGTGGACTGACTAGGCTTCAGGCAGGTGGTCATGCACCCATGTCACAAGCTGAAAATTCCATATTAATATATGTGTAAAACTTGGGCACTGTGGTAGTAAATAATTCCATATTAGTTTGTTTATTAGATATATCACACAGTGAAACAGTATTATGATATGATATGAACAATAAATTTTGTCCGAAACGTCATCCAGTAAATAATACTGTTTCACTGTGTCATATATCTAATAAACAAACTAATATGAAAATTCCATAGTTGTACCAAAATACTGCGTGGAATAAAGTTTTGATAAAAATAAAATAAAATATGCCCTATGCTATACCGTCACCTCGTGTTCAATTCTTTACGAACTATCTCTGGTTAACAAGGCGCGTATCCTCGCTAAACAGTAAAATTTTCTTTTCTCAACAACCTGATTGTTACTGTGATTTAGTTCACTAACTGTTTGCTGGTGAATATCAAATGAGTACATTTGAGGTTGGAAGATAATCTACGAGTATTATGGGAACATTATCTGTTAGTGTAACACAATGAAGTGGCAAGCCTGTGACTAACTTCCACGGTATGTATTTATTTTGTGTATCATCTCTATTCTTGAACTGCGATTACCATGTGCGACCATACCTTGAAATATATAGGTATAAGACTGTGAAGGATGCCGATTTAGCTAATCTTATCTCGGTCAGATGATGCAGAAGACTAGTCTCAGCCAAGTGAAGCCTACTTTTCAGAGTGTGGTGTCACAGTTCCTGGTAGCCATACGTTCTTTGTAGCAGGAATGAAACGAATACGTCATATCACTCATATTCACCCATGAAGTAGGCAGTTTGTATGGCCTTAGGAAGGCAAGAATCCCAAAGATGAAAGAAGCACCGGTAGACTTTTCCGTAAATTCCACTAAGATGATAGTTTGGCGGCAAATATGCTTCCACAAAACCTTTAGCAACTTTCGGAAGGTGTTTTTCTAAACGTAACTTTGTATGAGTCTGATCAGCACAGTTAGTTGTTTACTGACGTCATCATGCTTACCATAGGTATAGACATGGTTGGCGACCACGCCTACTGCCAGCAGCCTGCTGACAAAGACTGATAGGCGCTGTCACAAAACCGCATGTCAAATTTCAGAACCCATCCCTGATAGAAAATTAAAATCATAGACGATCGAACGCCCTACACAACCTCAGACAGACAACGACAAGTCGGTCATTCAACAAACTAACAGTCACTCAGGACAAACAATGCTATAGTTCACATCTCTAAAGCAGGACGACCTATGATTTTGAAGGCTTGAGGAATGGCCCCAGATAACCCAAGAATAACTGAGCTGCAACCACATCACATGCTTGCTCTTTTTATTTTACGCTTGCCTAATGTTCGTTGACATCTGCGCTCCGCATATCGCCCAAGAAGCACATCAAAGACTGGTGGCACAACGGCGATTATCAGCTGCTAAACGATATAACCATTCCAGAGTGCTGCCCACTGCCATATGACTACGCTGTCCAATGCAAGCAGTTTTTCGAAAGCCGATATGCTCGAAGTACCAAACTCAATTCCGATGGCACCAAAAGACTTGGCGGAAGCAGCTTTCACTCCACCTTCAGTATTTTTCGAATTATAACACATGCAATCTAGTATTTAGAATATAGCACAAACATTTCAGCTCTCTACACTATATGTATGCTCTCTTAGGCGTCTTTCTTATTCCAAGTCAAGTTAATGAAACTTTGTTTACAATAGACTGTATGTACGGTGTCGTTATTACCTATCAAAGGGACCAAGCAATACAAAGATCACTCACTCCCTTTGGAATACCATTGGTCACAGAGTTATATGCGAAATTAACAATAATGTATAAGACGTTTCAGACTTTCTGGATTCAGAGGCCGTTAAAACCTTGATTTTTAATGTCTTGACAAGCTGTTGCCACACGTTGCTTTGGTGCAACCACTGATAGATATGCTGCGCAAAAATGTGAA